GTCAGGGGGACGGTTCTGAGGACAGACATCCAAACAGGACCAGTCCAGCAGCTGGAGCCCATCATCAGCACCAGGTGACACGCAGAGCAGAGCAGGACAGACGTTCCTCAGAGCAAATTAAGAACAACATTGTTAAGACTAGAAAAGCCCTCTGAGAGCACAGACCTCCTCCACCGAGCTCATGTCCACCATGCTGACGTTAAAGTCCTGCATTCATTTTATCTACACGATTAATTCATGGAGAAGCAGAACATAGCTTTAGCATTTGAGTTAACATTGATATCATTAATAACAAGCTGATGGAGCGATGAACGTCGTTCTGGACTCTCAAATATTTTGTACACTTGCGTTATTTCTGCAGTTCCTCAATTGGTTGGTATAACTACAGCCAGGTTACTGCTAACATAAACAGACAGGGAGTAGCTTACGCTAGGTTAGCACAACTTTAGCAACGTAAATGAAGCGCATGACCGACGCAACGAGGCACACGTCAGTCATCCTGACACATGGCAAAGAGGGTTTAAGTGAACCAGGAGAAATGCTGAGTCATCGTTAATGTCACAACGTGGTTCTGAACTTATGTGTCAGTAGCTCCGCTCAGCCCACTCCTGTAGTCCTGCCTGGCTGTAGCTTCCTCCTGGACTACTGAGAAGACAGCGGTGAGGACTGAAGGACTGAATGGAGTCAGAGCTCCATCTAGTGGACAAACGATGCAACGACAGCATTCTGTGCCACTGTGACACTAAACAGCGTTTAATGTTTTATGAGAAAATAACCAGACAGTAGGCCAGAACATCACCAGAATTTAATCATCTGTTCATTGTGCCATTATCAACATTTCCTGAAAATTTCATGAAAATCCGTTCATAACTTTTCGAGTTATCTTGCTAAAAAACAACCAACCAACCAACAAACAGATGAACGCCAGCTAAAACATAAGGAAACAAAGATCATGTTCCCGGTGTGCTCCTGACCCAGTGTGACATATCCAGGCTTTCTTTGTGTACTCGGCTCCACATAAACTAAAGCCCCAGCCAGAGATCACAGGTGTCACGAAGGTGGTTCAACTTTCTTTATCATCTCAGACTTCCTGCTTCAGACTCTGTTCACATAAAAAGAAGTCGTTTAACACGTCACAAGACTCTTCTTCTGCACTGAATGAATCAATGTGCAGCTGCTTCAGTCAACATGTTGTTTCAATGGAGAACAATGAGGAACATAAACATCTATGACGGTAAAAAGCGTCGCTACTGTAAATGGTGAAGACAGGATCACTGGTAGAAAACTGTTAAACGTGTTCATATATAATATTTTATCGATGCAGCTGCAGATTTCCAGCTGACAGCTGCACGTTAAAAATAAACTTTAAGCTTCATATATTTAAACCTGATCTTGTATTGAAGGTCATTTAGGTCTGACAGTGTCCCAGAATGCAGGAAATCACTTTAGTTTTTGGCCAAATCAAAGCAAAATTATTAGATATTGATTGAATATTCTCTGTAATAGATACCAGCAGAATAATCCATGTTCTGATCTGTTCTATCAGCTGCAGAAGCAGCAGAGTAAATGGACCTGACAGCAAGTCAGAGCCAAACATAAAAACATATTTATGTGATTTCTGCATCACCAACTAAATACATGTCTGGTTTCCATGGCAACGCGATACATACAGTGTGTGATACTGCAATTGCACGACTTCATTCAGTGATATAAGCAACGCACAACTCAGCATGTTTACAGAAAAAACACACTCCCTCAGCTGAGAATCTGTATCGCTCATAAATAATAGTCAGGAAACGATCTGGTTAAAGGGAGACGGTCTGTCAGACGATTTAAATCTGAAGCTCTGAACATAACCTGATCCGGACCAGGTCAGCGCCACAGCATCAGTTACCATGGAGATGTAGCTCCACAGCATCAGTTACCATGGAGATGTGGCTCCACAGCATCAGTTACCATGGAGATGTAGCCAGGTAAAACAAGAGCCACCTTCATGACACTAGAAAGTCTGACTTTAAGCTCAACATACCTTGATAACCCACGACTCCGGCTTCATAGTGCAGCCCTCTGGTGCGCTCCTCACCCTATGTGTCTTGTCCAGTTTTATAAAACAAGCTTTTTTGTGCGGTTAAAAGTGTTGTTTTCCCTCTTGGTGGTAGCCAAAGACCCACCTTTCCTCACCAGTGATAATCTTCTATATCCCGAGCTGCTGACTGATACAGTATTTGCTGCCTGTTTCAGTTTGAGGTCCACGGAAAAAATCACGAGTGAGTGTCTACCAGTGGTCACAACAACATGTAACACAGGTTCCCGCTGACTCATATCAGTTACTGCCTGCACATGTTGTGGAAAGTTCTACAACCTTTTAAACACACCTCCAATTTGTCTCAACATCTAAAACCTCTCTTAGCTTTCTTTTCAACCATTTAAATTTCTGTTAGAATATCAGCGTGTCACGTAACACGAATTTGTGTAAACATTTTGACATTTTTTTTAAGTTGTAAGTTAAAGTTGAGATTGATTGATTGATTGATTGATTGATGGATTGATGGATTGATTGATTGAAGGAATTTCTCCAACATCATCTTGCACTGGAATGTGATGTAGAAGAAGATGGAATTTTAACATTTAATGTTTCATATAAATATGAATGAAATTCTGGTTAAATATGGTGTAAATGTAAACCTTCAGTCGACATCTTCAGTCACTTTTTTATTTTAATTTTTTTTAAAAAGTCCTTTATTTCCAAGTAAAACAAGATTCCCACAAAATGATGATGGTCATGATGCTGCCACCACCATGCTTCACAATGGTGTGTTTGTGACGATGTGCAGTGCCTGCCAAACACAGCATCTAGGCTGATGGTCTCTATATCTCTAGTTTATGCTATGAGATTCTGAGGGAAATCAGAAATGGTCAAGCAGAAATTATTCTAAAATTTTATTATTTGTGCATGAATGTGTGTGACTGAGAAAACATTGTAAAGTGCTTTGAGCAATACTAAGGTAGAAAAGTGCTGTGTAAGTGCAGTCCATTTGCCATTTACCATATTTCTGTTGATTAACTTGTGGATTTAAGATTAAGGAAACTTAAAACAGATCAAATTGATTATTTTCCCGCTTTAGATTAGAAGAAACACCACGCAGCATGAGTCCCGTCAGGATGTTGGAGGATATTAGCAGCGGAGAGTCGGTGCTGCCGTCCAAGCCTCGGTTCTGCAATTTAAAAAAAGGGACAAAATGATAATGAAAATTCAACAAAATCACATTTTTTCTTGTAGTAAAACAAAGTTTATGTTTATGTGGAGTTCTCAGTATGAACAATTTTATTTTCACTTTGCTGGCATTTTATTTGCAGTGCATATATACAGAGACAGAAAAACACAAATTAATTGCATTCACCCTTTAAATGTCAGGGTTTGCAAAAGATTCAGCGAAATGTATTTTCCCCTTTTGACAGGCATCAGAGCGAGCAGTTACCACATTCAAGCATTTGCAGTGAGCAAGACAGCTGCTTGCTTTGGTTTGGACTTACAGCCTTCGCATATCATGCCTATGATCCCGAGGCACGTGCACAGCAGCAACAAGCACTCCTCGCTCCTCAGGCAGGCCCTGGTCAACGAACAGCACTTGGAGCAGCACTTGGAGCAGCACTTGGAGCAGCTCTTGGAGCAGCTCTTGGAGCAGCTCTTGGAGCAGCTGTTCCCGGAGCTCCTGCTCTCCCTCTGCTCATGGCTCCTGGGCTGAGTTTGCCTCGTGTCGTCGTGGTGCAGTTCATCCTCCTCCTCACTCTCGCCTCTCTCCATGACGCCTGCTCGCTCTGACCAAAAGAAAATAAATAAAAAATTTAACAGTGGTTTGAGGATCGGTCCCTGTACAACCAAAGTGCGAGCTGTGTCCACATTCTCAGCAAAAAGTCAGACACGTTCCCAGTGGGTGTTGGACTCCACCAGGACTGCCCCTNACGCACAGCTCAGCATGTTTACAGAAAAAACACACTCCCTCAGCTGAGAATCTGTATCGCTCATAAATAATAGTCAGGAAACGATCTGGTTAAAGAGAGACGCTCTGTCAGACGATTTAAATCTGAAGCTCTGAACATAACCTGATCCCGACCAGGTCAGCTCCACAGCATCAGTTGCCATGGAGATGTAGCTCCACAGCATCAGTTACCATGGAGATGTAGCCAGGTAAAACAAGAGCCACCTTCATGACACTAGAAAGTCTGACTTTAAGCTCAACATACCTTGATAACCCACGACTCCGGCTTCATAGTACAGCCCTCTGGTGTGCTCCTCACCCAATGTGTCTTGTCCAGTTTTATAAAACAAGCTTTTGCGGTTAAAAGTGTTATTTTCTCTCTTGGTGGTAGCCAAAGACCCACCTTTCCAGTGGTGATCTTCTGTATCCCGAGCTGGTGACTGATAGAGTATTTGATGTTTGCTGCCTGTTTCAGTTTGAGGTCCACGGAAAAAATCACGAGTGAGTGTCTACCAGTGGTCACAACAACATGTAACACAGGTTCCCGCTGACTCATATCAGTTACTGCCTGCACATGTTGTGGAAAGTTCTACAACCTTTTAAACACACCTCCAATTTGTCTCAACATCTAAAACCTCTCTTAGCTTTCTTTTCAACCATTTAAATTTCTGTTAGAATATCAGCGTGTCACGTAACACGAATTTGTGTAAACATTTTGACATTTTTTTTAAGTTGTAAGTTAAAGTTGAGATTGATTGATTGATTGATTGATTGATGGATTGATGGATTGATTGATTGAAGGAATTTCTCCAACATCATCTTGCACTGGAATGTGATGTAGAAGAAGATGGAATTTTAACATTTAATGTTTCATATAAATATGAATGAAATTCTGGTTAAATATGGTGTAAATGTAAACCTTCAGTCGACATCTTCAGTCACTTTTTTATTTTAATTTTTTTTTAAAAGTCCTTTATTTCCAAGTAAAACAAGATTCCCACAAAATGATGATGGTCATGATGCTGCCACCACCATGCTTCACAATGGTGTGTTTGTGACGATGTGCAGTGCCTGCCAAACACAGCATCTAGGCTGATGGTCTCTATATCTCTAGTTTATGCTATGAGATTCTGAGGGAAATCAGAAATGGTCAAGCAGAAATTATTCTAAAATTTTATTATTTGTGCATGAATGTGTGTGACTGAGAAAACATTGTAAAGTGCTTTGAGCAATACTAAGGTAGAAAAGTGCTGTGTAAGTGCAGTCCATTTGCCATTTACCATATTTCTGTTGATTAACTTGTGGATTTAAGATTAAGGAAACTTAAAACAGATCAAATTGATTATTTTCCCGCTTTAGATTAGAAGAAACACCACGCAGCATGAGTCCCGTCAGGATGTTGGAGGATATTAGCAGCGGAGAGTCGGTGCTGCCGTCCAAGCCTCGGTTCTGCAATTTAAAAAAAGGGACAAAATGATAATGAAAATTCAACAAAATCACATTTTTTCTTGTAGTAAAACAAAGTTTATGTTTATGTGGAGTTCTCAGTATGAACAATTTTATTTTCACTTTGCTGGCATTTTATTTGCAGTGCATATATACAGAGACAGAAAAACACAAATTAATTGCATTCACCCTTTAAATGTCAGGGTTTGCAAAAGATTCAGCGAAATGTATTTTCCCCTTTTGACAGGCATCAGAGCGAGCAGTTACCACATTCAAGCATTTGCAGTGAGCAAGACAGCTGCTTGCTTTGGTTTGGACTTACAGCCTTCGCATATCATGCCTATGATCCCGAGGCACGTGCACAGCAGCAACAAGCACTCCTCGCTCCTCAGGCAGGCCCTGGTCAACGAACAGCACTTGGAGCAGCACTTGGAGCAGCACTTGGAGCAGCTCTTGGAGCAGCTCTTGGAGCAGCTCTTGGAGCAGCTGTTCCCGGAGCTCCTGCTCTCCCTCTGCTCATGGCTCCTGGGCTGAGTTTGCCTCGTGTCGTCGTGGTGCAGTTCATCCTCCTCCTCACTCTCGCCTCTCTCCATGACGCCTGCTCGCTCTGACCAAAAGAAAATAAATAAAAAATTTAACAGTGGTTTGAGGATCGGTCCCTGTACAACCAAAGTGCGAGCTGTGTCCACATTCTCAGCAAAAAGTCAGACACGTTCCCAGTGGGTGTTGGACTCCACCAGGACTGCCCCTCGTCTCTGATCCTGTTTGTGGTTTTCATGGACAGGATCTCAAGGTGCAGTCAGGGTGAGGAGGGTGTCCAATTTGGGGATCTCAGGATCACGTCCCTGCTTTTTGCAGATGATGTGGTACTGCTGGCTTCATCAGACCCTGACCTTCAGCATGCATTGGAACAGTTTGCAGCCGAGTGCAAAGCGGCAGGGATGCGGATCAATACCTCCAAGTCTGAGGCCAATGTCTTCTGCCGGGAACCGGTGGATTGCCACCTTTTTTTTTGTCATCTGACTTTGTTTTTAGGAATGTTTGCACCTACCCAGGTAACATTCCTGCTTCCAACTCTTACGGCACGGACTTCCTTGTGTAAAATCAGCGCATGCCGCTGATGTGAAATCACTTTCACTAAACCGGCCTCTTCATGCCACTGCAGCAGTGTAGAGCTGATGGATAAATCTATGAATGTATTTTTCTCTCCAAACAACCAAACTCAACATATTATGCACTGAGCTGTTCGGTTTCATTAAAGAGAAATCATTTTTCACAAGTGCGACTCATTAACATTGCAGTCCAAACTTTGGTCGCTTTATGAACACTTTATTGAGTGAAGTCACATCGATCTGACAGATTAACAATCCTTCCACTCTGATGATCATTCCTCCTGCCAGGAGTTGAGGCCCCCTGTTTTAACTGTCGGATACAATTGCTCCCCACAGACATTATCAGATATTAAGTGATAACCCTGATGGTGAAATAACAACTTATCTGTGCCATCCAGTGGCTCCCCATTTATTAACACTGACAGTAAATTAGATTGCTGGCATCTGGAGGGTATACTGGCATTTCCAATGCACCTTTCCATCTCATTCTGCTTTCAAAACTCCATCGCTTTTCAATCATAAGTAATGAAATTCCATCACCCTCCTCGGCCATGAAAGCGACTTGGAAAGGAAGTGAGAGAAGGCCATTAGGAGGAGAGGGAAGAAAAAAAAGAGAGAGTAATGGTCTTACCCTTTGCTTTCAGAGTCGCCTCTCTGTCAGGTTGAATCTCCTGTCTTTGTAAAGTAGGCTTTTCTTAGAGGAGTGCAGTGAACAGACACCTCCAGCAGTACAGACGCTGCTCACACTGGTGAACAACAATGTGTTGGCATCATGAGCAGAGCGGGGATTTCCTCAGGTTGAACAGGTTTGACTGAGTGGACTGCCCCCCAGAGTGAATGATTTTACCAACAACAAACACGCATTTAAAGACTTACAGAGTCTTAAAGGTGTAATCAATACAGCAAGTGTAAGGAAGAGGTCTGTCCCACCAGTGAACTGTTGAATCTAATGACTGACTCTGCAGCACAAGTGACCAGACAGCGACTCGGCCTGTTTTTGAGATTTTATGATGCTGTTGCAGTTTTGATTAGTCGTGTTTATACAAACAGCAGTAAATCAGTTAATCCCAGTAAACAGCAGCTAAAAGGATTCAAATTTGCCATCCTCATTGTAGGAGTCTACTGGGATGTCGAGTTCCTGCAACACTTCCAACACTCCCTGGAAGTCCCGTCATGTAATCATTCCAAACACTATCTGTAATGGCACCTCCAAACTGTGTCTAATGGCAATCCTTCAACTTGAATTTCATTTTGGGAAAGAGGAAGGGAACCAAATCTATCGATTCACTTGGGCAAGGACATGACAATGGTGTCGTTGTGGCCAAAACGTCCTGTGTGGAATCATTCCGCCGTGACTCACCACAGTTTTGGTCATTTTCGCAAAATGTGCTTCATGACATTACAGCAGAACTCCGCCTTGACAGTCAACCCTGGTGGCAAACTAATTCTTGGTGCACGACCAAGTGAATGTTGAAGGACACAAAGATCATGCTCCTGGTGTGCTCCTGACCCAATGTGTCTTGTCCGGTTTTAGAAAACGAGAACAGTGCTGTTTTGTCTCTTGGTGGTAGCCGTAGACCCACCATGTTGTTTGGTCATCTCGAACTGCTGACTGATTAAAAAATTTGATGTCTACTGTCTGCTCTAGTTTGGGATGAATAAAGATATCACAAGTCTCTACCAGAGACTTAGGATATCTAGACAAATCTACCAGTGGCTACAAAAGCATGTAAGACGGGTCCTGCTTACTTGTGACAGTTCCTGAGTGCTCATGTTGTGGATAGTTCCAGAACTTTTTGATTGCACTTTGCATTTTTCTAAACATCTAAAACCCATCTTTGCCTCTTTTCAACCATTTAAATGTCTGCTACAATATCAGCGTGTCGCAAAACACAAATTTGTGTATGAATGATGGAGTTTTGCTCTGATAGTTCTGCCCAGATTGTAGTTTTTCTTATGGCTCCTCCCTTGCAGCTGTGTTGTTGGTGTTGATTAGGTTCCAAAGTGGCAGCATGTTATTGCAAACCCCAGTTAGATATGGTCTAAATGTTAAACTTCAGTCAGTTGTTTGTAGTTTTCCTTTTTTTTTTATTTAAGAAGAAAAAAAAGTCTTTCATTTCAAAGTAAAACGAGATTCCCATGAAGTGATGATGATCATGATGCTGCCACCGCCATGCTTCACGGTGGAGGTGATGTGTTTGTGAGGGTATGAAGTGTTCACTGTCTGCCAACTACAGCATCTCGGCTTGGGGCCAAGAATCTCAATCCAGCTGACGTCAGACTCTCACACATTCCTTCAGGTGAACACAAGCTGAGATCTAATGTGAACGTTTTTCAGTAGTTGCTCTCTACTGTTACCTTCCCATGAACCTTTGACTCGTGAAGAAACC